CTTGAGCCACAGGCGCTGAGCCGGTTTTTACATTTTTAAATAGCTGAAGAAAAACCAAAATAGTAATATTTTGTGACATATGAAAATTGTAGGAATTCACATACACTCATTTAGTATTGTCTGGCAGAGCTAAGTGATCACAACAGAGTGTATGGTCTGCAAGGACTAACATAGTTAGTCTGGCCCTTTACAGAAAATGTTTGCTGACCTTTGTCTTACAGGTTATAAATGTCCCAAATGCTCCTCTCAGCCCTAATGTACGCATGTTGGGTGGGTGGGAGGGGGCGGAAAGAAAATTAAAAATACAGAAAAATACAAAACTATGCATTCACCATGGAGAATTGAGTTGTTAACACGATTTGATGATATTCCATCAGATGACTTTGAGTTTTATTTATCTATTCCTCCGATGCACATTTAGGAGGTTCCCACGGTTTTGAAATTACCAACAAAGGCATGCATATTGAGTTAACATCAGAAGGGGTGGTCATTTCGTTGGATCGCTCCAAGTTGTTTGGGAGTGCCCCCTGCAGGCTGGAAATAGCTGAGGCGCTCATGGAAATCCACTCAGTTGATTACAGGGGCTTTGAACCTTTAACTTGTCGCTTGTCTCTCCTCTCAACTTACCCGTTTTTACTGCTTGGCAGGGTCAGTGAGACGTCTCCTGGGCTACTTTTACTCCAGATATGGGTTGCCTGAACCCCAGGACGATTCAGGGTGCCCTTGAGGTCTTCTTTCCCTCCTTCCCTAGTGCTGTTATCTAGCTGGGAGATCAAACACAATACGGCTCCAGCAAAGAAAAGGGCCAAAAGAGAGAGAATATGATGTATTACAAAAAAGCATCTGAATAGCGGTCTGGAAGAGCCAGAGACCTTAAAATGGGTTTAGCATAGTTTGGTGAATCCAGGTTGACTGGAGATGGGAGAGGAACTCCCGCAGCCTTTGGGACCCGTCCTGAGCTAGTGGCCAGTCCGGAGGCAGCTGCGGAAGGGAGCTCCTCTGAAACGATGTTCGCCCTAAATCCAGGCCGCATCTGCCGCGGGTCCGGTTCCTTTTGCTGGGGCAGCAGCCCCATGAGCGGGAGCTCCCGCTGGTATGGGGAACTTCCCGGGACTCAGACGCCGCGCTGCAGTCCCCGCATTTAGCTGAACAAAGAGAGCGCTGCCAGCAAGTCCCGCCCGCGCAAGGGTGCCGCCGCCACTGCGGGGAGAACCCGGTAGGTGCGCGCCGCGGGCGAGCCGGGGCAAAGTTGCTGTGCAGCCGTCCGCGCCCCCGCAAGCCTCCTCCCTCCGGCTTTTCTCGGCCTCCGACCCCCGTCTGGCGGGCCTCACTTCCCCTCCTCTGAGCCTTCCTCCACCTTCTCTTTTCCCTCCGCCGCTACTTTCGTCTCCACAGGCTCTCGCTCCCTCCCCTCCGCTCCCGGGAGCGAGGACGAGCTGACGGGGGCGCGCGGCGGGGGCGCGCAACTCCGCGCCCGGGTTACCAGCGGCAGCGGCCAATCCCAGCGCAGCCCGAGGCGGCGTCGCGCCCGAACCCGGGCCGGGCGGCTCCTCCCGCCCCCGCCCCTCGCGCGCCCGGCGGGGCCGGGGAGAAGAGCGCGCGGACGCTGTGAGCGAGCCAAGTCGAGCCGAGCCGGGGGCGCAGAGCGCGGGAGGAGACGGCGGCGGCGGCGCGGAGCCCAGGTGAGCTGGCGTTAGCCCGGCCGGGGGCGGGGGACGCCTCCGCTTTTGGCCCAGGCGCTCTCGCCTTCTCTCTCTCTGGGCTGGGGACCACCGCTGGGATTGCACAAAGCCCCAAGGCTAGCTTGGGTTCACTCCACCCAGGGACCCCACGTGCACCTCCCCACGCCCCGCCACGTGGAGCGACTCGGCTCCCGGGATTCCTTCCCTGTGTCTTCGGGCCCTCAGGGCCGCGGGGTGGCCTCCTGGGCTGGGCCGCGCCCTGTCCCGGAGGCAGGGGAGGTCTTAGAGTTTGGAATCCTTGTCACCAGGGTCCTGGGCGTCAATGATTGAGGAGGTGGCTTAGGCCCACACCCTCGCGTTGACAGGTGGGGAAATCTGGAACGCGCAGGAGAAGACAGGGCCAGTGGACTTTGAGCGTCGCCACCCTGCAGCCCGCTTGGCTTAGGGCAAATCCAGGCCCTGGTGGCTTGGACACCAGGTGGCAGGACCCTAGACCAGCACTTGTGTGGACTTGGGGACTTCTGCCTCTCCTCAGCCTGCCCTTTGACTAACCACCCCCACCGCCCCTCGCCTCTCTCCGCCAGAATCTTGCAGGCTTGATTCTTTTGACCTAAATTTACTTGGGGCTTTAGCACGCTGTGAATGCAGAGAGGTGTCCACCTGACTCTCTGGGTGCTCGGCCCAGCCCATGTCAACACTGGGTCTTGGTGTCTGAGGTGCCACCGCATCCAGCCCTAAGTTTTTTCTGGCTTCTCCCAGCCCTTGCACTGCCCAGTCTGGGAAGTGGGGTGTTTTCACAGCTCTGCCAGCCTCTGCCCTGGCTGCTCTCACCTGGTGCTTAAGAGATTGCACCTCAGCACCTCTGATCTCTGCAGAAGGTTGAAGTGGAGGGATGGAGCTTGGTGGTGGTGGTGGGGGACATCTCAGTACTATCAGCAAGAGAGGGAAACTCCGGGTATGAGGCAACTTTTTTTTTTTTTTGGTAGAGACAGAGTCTCACTTCATTGCCCTTGGTAGAGTGCTGTGGCATCGCTCATAGCAACCTCCAACTCCTGGGCTTAGGTGATTCTCTTCAGCCTGGTGTTTGGAGTCCACACAGTCTTAGAGATAGAAACTTCATCTACCATAGAGTTCTACTGTCTTTTGGCTCTGTCCCCATAAACTCCTTTGTTCCTTGAAGGAAGCAGACACTGCAATCAGGGTAGGGCTTGGAGGAATTAGCCCACCTCTTCTTGAACCACCCCACAAAAACATGCAATTTCAGAATAAACAGTGTGTGCCATGCAAACACACTGGTAGGGTGAGCCCCAGACACCCCCTTCCAGATAGAAAACCTTCCTGTATAGAAAGTAGGCATTTGTGATGAGGGCATACAACATATTTTTGTATTAAAGAGTAATATCCATCATTTGATGAGCCCTTAACTTGGATAATAATAATGTTAATAACATTTATTGAGTTCTGTGTGCTAGATCCTATGCTATGTGTTTCAAGCATTATCTCATTTAATGCTTGCTCAAATCCTACAAAGCAAGGAGTTTTTATCCCCATTGTAAAGACTAGGAGATTGAGGTTTGTACCAATCCTCTTAGCAGGATTTAGCCTCATTTTATAGAAGGGGTCAGAAACCATAGGTAACTTGCCCAGGGTCACACAGCTAATGAAGGCATATAAGGCCTAAGGGCCTTTTTGCTTTCTCACCTGTTCTATGCCTTGCTTCTGGAAGAGCCCCGCTTGTTTACTAAATCAGCATTTATAGACACAGATCTAAGCAGGCTCTATAGTAATGATGATTCTTAGGCTTGTCTTTGCCCTCAGGTTGTTAGTGGACTGGTAGCCAAATATATTCACTAATAATTATTCATTAGTTCTCATCCAGGGTAGTCACTCCCTCGTGGCAAGCCTTTGGAAAAGTGTGGTTTGGGTTGTCAAAGTGCTGCTAAGCAGAGCGGCATCTGTGGCTCAGTGAATAGGGCGCCGGCCCCATATACCAAGGGTGGTGAGTTCAAACCTGGCCCAGGCCAAACTGCAACAAAAAAATAGCTGGGGCGTTGTGGAGGGTGCCTGTAGTCCCAGATACTCCGGAGGCTGAGGCAAGAGAATCCACCTAAGCCCAAGTGCTGGAGGTTGCTGTGAGCTGTGACGCCACAGTACTCTACCTAGAGTGACAAAGTGAGACTGTCTCTAAAAAAAAAGTGCTGCTAAGCACTCCTCGCTTTTGGTGGGCAGGGGTTAACGGGTTGCCAAATGGCTGTAAGCAGGCCAGTGCCACAATATGAAGAATGTTCCTGCCCTAGGTGCTAGTAGTGCCTCTATGCTGTGGACATGGAGGGAGTAGAAGGCAGTGAAGGTCTAGAGAAGTCTCTTTTGACTGATGTCAATATGGGAAGCCTTGAAGGATAGGTCAGAAATTGGAGATTGGATGGGAATGAGAAGGGAAGGGCACAGGATGAGATGACCTAGCAGAGGGAACTTTGTGCAGTAACCCAGGTTCACTCCTACTGAACTTCAGTCTGGATGGAAGATGGAGTGTCTCTCTCTCTCTCTTTTTCTCTCCAAAGGGCTAGGCTAGGTGGGACAGGCCAAGCTTGCTTGCTTTCTTTATTTTTTTTTGAGACAGAGTCTCACTATGTCACCCTTGGTAGTTTGAGCAACCTCAAACTCTTGGGCTTAAATGATTCTCTTGCCTCAGCCTCCGGAGTAACTGGGACTACAGGCGCCCACCACAATGCTTGGGTATCTTTTTTGTTGCAGTTGTCATTGTTTTAGCTGGCTCTGGGCTGGATTTGAACCCACCAGCCTCAGTGTATGTGGCTGGCGCCTTAACCACTGTGCTACGGGCACTGAGCCGCCAACCCTGTTTTCAAGGCATTTTGGTTCCAGGTTTTTGTTTGTTTGTTTGTTTTGGCCAAGAGTGGGTTTGAACCCGCCACCTCCAGCATATGGGGTCCTACTTCTTTGAACCACAGGCACCACCCTTGGTTCCAGCTTTAACATGGGTCACAGAGTCGCCCTTACCCTACCGTGAACTCATTTTATCAGAGAGCTCAGATAGGCAGGGTAACTTGATCAGGGTTACCTGTGACCTTCTTCCTTGCTAGGCACACCTTCTGGTGGCTGTGGGAAGCATATGGTTCCCATTTCCTTCCCTAATCCTGGGGATTTGGGGCAAATGCTACTTCAGATTTTCCTTTGAGTCATAGGGCCAGGCGTTGCTGTTTTTTTCAGATGTTTAGCTCCACCCCTTCAGATGGGGTTAGGGACCCTGGATGTGGGGTTCAGGCCAGCTGGCTCCATGATGCTGCAGTGGCCTCACCCTCACATCTGTGCTTCTTCCCTGGAAGTTGAGGAAATTGCATCCTTACAATTCAGCAGTATTTAGTCCATTCACAGTGATGTGCAATCATTACTTCTGTCCAGTTCCAGGAGGTTTTTAATCACTCCAAAAGGAAACGTTGTATCTATTAAATAATCACCCTGTCTTTCTAATGCTCATCTCCTGGCCCCTACCAATCTACTTTCTGTCTCTGTGGATTTCCTTTCCTATTCTGGGCTTTTCATATATGTGGAATCGTCTAATACATGACTTTTGTGTCTGGCTTCTTTCATTTGGCATGATGCTTTTAAGGTTATCCATATTGTAGCATGTGGCAGTGCTTCATTCCTTTCTATGGCCAAATACTCTTCCATTGTTTGGAGAGATCACATTTTGTTTATCCATTCATCCGTTGATGGACATTTGGGTAGTTCCCAGTGTAAGGGCTTCTTAAGGCTACTTTGTCCATTCCTGTGTCTCTGCAGCTCCCCAGTTAGTAAACTTCTGGGTGTAAAACATTGTTTTGTTATGCCATTTGCAGGGAGAGGGTGATGGGAGAAAGATTTCCTGAAATCACTCAGAGACAGCGTCCTGGAACAAAGTTTTCAGGATTCCCATCTTTGCACCCTCACCTGTCCCTGCACAAGAATCATAGCTTCCTGTTATGAGTTGTCTCGCAGGCCACCTCATGGTTCTTACAAGTGTAGGACACTTCAGGGACAGGCTAGATTTTATTCAGTTCCATTCTTTTCGGTCATGACGATTTGTTAAATGTATATGCCCTCATGATTTTGTGAGATTTTTCCAGACAAATCACAGTGTAGAGAGAACCTCACCAGACAGATAGTGCTATAACCCTGTGGCCACAAATGGAGTCAGCCCAGTCTCTCCTCGTAGCTTTGCCAGCAATGTCAGCCAAGGAAGCAAAAATCGGAAGCTCAGCTAGGAGGCAGCCTGGTAGAGATTAGCTCCTCATCCCCTCCTGTTTTACAAGTTGGGGAAGTAGAGTGCAGAAAGGGAGGGAGAATGTGGTCTTTTTGGAACATTTACTGTGTGCCAAATATTTGTGTACTGAGGATTCATTCCACAGCCACCCTCTAGGTAGGTCTGGCTGGCTCTATTTTACAGACGAAAAAAATCAAGGCCCAAGGTTCCCTGGTATCTGTATCTATTCTGAGCTCTTGTTCTTCCCTTGGCTGCCTTCCCTTCTTTATGCCCAAGAAAATGGGCATATTCTTGGCTATGCCATAAAGAAAATTATGCCCATTTTCTTGTGGAGGGGAGTCCACCATCTCCAGGAGGTCATGGCATGGAATCTCCAAATGGTTTTGCTCTCTGAAAAATAAGAAGACTTAGAGGGCCGGGCACCATGGCTCATGCCTGTAATCCTAACACTCTGGAAGGCCTAAGTGGGTGGATTGCCTGAGCTTACGGGTTCAAGACCAGCTTGAGCAAGAGAAAGACCCCATGTCTAAAAATAGCTGGGCATTGTGGTGGGCACCTGTAGTCCCAGCTACTCTGGAGGCTGAGGCAAGAGGATCTCTTGAACCCAAGAACTTGAGGTTGCTGTGGGCTGTGATGCTATGGCAGTCTACCAAGAGCAACAAAGTGAGACTCTGTCTCAAAAATAAAAGACTTGGAATTATTATTTTTTCCTTCTTTTTGATTGGGCACCTTCCTCAAT